TTGTTTGGTTGTCGTATATATATATATATATATATATAGTATGTGTGCGGGCGAAAATTTATTTCGTGTATGTGTATATACATGCACGTATATTGACCATTACGCAGAGAGTGCCTTTTGACCCTCTCACCACTCATATGCTTAGCCTTATCTGGTGGCATATTTAATAATACTTCAAAAGCTTATGTATACTAACATATTCAATACCACTTGTAACTGTCTACTGTCACAGACATACTAACACATTTTGAGACATGCGGGAACAACAATTCCAAACCTCTGGCACATGGACTGATCCTATATATGGCCTGGCACGTCGATTTCCGGCCTCAGAAGTCCAAAAATCGTACTGGAAGTGTCTTTTGTTGTGCGCGACCAAAATTTCGGATTTTTTCAGAATCGGGTCTCGAACCAAATACAATTTCTAAAATGTATCGGGTGATTTTCTTGTCTTTAGGTCATTCTAAGTATTTTCCGCTATCAAACTCCGGAATCGGATCTGAATTTGATGCTCCACCCCCTCTGGAGGAAGGGGTACTTTAGCGGAACAAATATATTTAAAAGCGATTGCAGTCATAGGCTCACGCCTCATAGGCAGTAGCACTTTTATTTATATATTTTAAAAAAAGCACTATCTACATAAATATCTATATGAATATATTATCAGATCTGAGATCTGCACGACTGCAGGCTACAGAGTACAGACTCTGTGTGCAGGACTATCTGGACTGTAGACCCGGCCAGGCCTTCAGTTTGTAAAAATACAATTCTGTAAAATAAAATATCTTCAAAATGTGACCAAAAAAATAAAAAATAGACACAAGAAGAACAATAATAGAATTATATAACTTTTTAAATTCTAATGGAGTACTTAAAGTATTTCAGATTATTTTAGAAGCTCGAATTCTTGTCTGATAAATCCTGAGCTGGTATAAGGTCGTGAGTCTCGCGAGTCGTCCCTGTCTTTTGAGTCTTATCAATCTCTATTTTTAGTATTTAGGTAAATTAAAATAGGTCGGCACTCGGCAGTCGGCACTCGGCACTCGGCACTCGGCAGTCGGCAGTCGGCACCTGACCTACCCTGTCATTATTACGAGAAAAAAAATAAGTAAAATAATTGCCGTAATTTTCGTAAGAAATACGTATCACATTCCTGAATTTGAAATTTTATGATTTATGCATGGTGAGCAAATTGAGAATTGGGAATTATGAAGTATGCAGCTCAATTTTGGGCCTTTAAGAAATATTCTATTTCTTAATTTTAAAAAGGAAAGAAGGATTAAGGCAGGTTATGAACTTATCAAAAAAGAATCATGTATGATATCTTTTTAAAAAATTTAAGAACTTAAAAAAAAAATCATGTATACCGATATCTGAAGAATTTTAAGAACCGGTACTTATTTTTATAGCATGTGAGGGACTAGGTGGGGCAAAGATTCTATTTCTATAACATGCAATCGTTTTCTCAGTACAAACTTTATATAGTGGTTGTGCATTGGGCGTAGAAGTGTAGAAGTGAATGTGAGTATGGCGGAGAATAGTGACGACACTGGGCGAACGAAAGCTACCGATACTGACACCACTACCCCCTCTGAAAAGAGTGTGCGAAAATCAGATAATGTGCGATCCTCTATCAAGAGGATGCAGCCGATTAACATTGATGCTATTGAGGGTGCAAGTCAGTATAATTGTTTAAAACTTTATCGAGGGATAACAAAAGGACAAACATTGAATTTCGCAGCCACAAAGTCTAAAGTTGACGATGACGATTGCAACAAAGCTACCTGTAGGTATTGCGACAGCACTAAAACTGACTCATCGAATCGCAAGAATGCTAATAATGCTATAATACATTATGAGAAGAAGCACGCCAAACAATGGTACGACGAAGTTAGTAGACTAGTATCTAAAGAGGTCAAAAAAGGGGCTAAGAAAGGCAGTCATCAGAGTATTGTAAATTTTGATTCAGCTAGCAAGTTACCACAATTGAAATTGTAAAATCAGCGGGTTCCTATAGTAGAAGCACATGGTAACGTATATCATAAACATAATAACATTTAAACACTATTACGGTTATGAAACCGGGTATACGTTGAAACTGGTAAACCTGGTTTATAACTAAATAATCAAATTTTCGATATATTGAATTTACAGAAAACAAACATAAAAATAACCTAATATGGATATTTGGAATTATAATTGTATACAACAGAGGCAAGAGACCCTGTTGATATTGATATGGTGGTTCTTCTACACTGATGTGTTTTCCATCAGAATATTGGGTTACAATACTGGGTGACTCTCAAGTGATATTGTAAGATTTGGTCTATCAAGGCGATATTAACGCCTTAGAGTAATTAAACGCTTAGGTTAATTCTAAGTATAGTTAAATTCGAAATAAAACTAAAACATTTTAATCTGGCCTTTTAATAGCCGTATCCAAATATCTGGTATATAAAATGGAAAAGGTTTTAATTAATAAAACCATTAAAAACCATTTAGTAAACTTAAATTCTTCGTACTATTAAGAGTGCGTTTGTAGTTTATGTACTGCTAATGACTACGTTCTTAACATAGAGTCTAATGTAGAGGCCCGGCCACGTACAGCAAATATTTCAATCCGTACAGGTGAGAACCAGAACAGCCCAGATAGCAGATTTCTTAGCCGTTGGCCGAAGATATCTAGACTAGCCCGGTCACGTACAGCAAAAATATCAATCCGTATAGGTACGAACTAGATAAGCCCAGATAGCAGGTTCCTTAACCGTTGGCCAACGACATCTAGACTAGCCCGGCTATTACACGGCCCTCACCCAGCTTTGAAACCCAGAAAAAGCAAGTTGCTCACTCAAGCTGATTATGGGACAAAAAGCGATAAAGGAAAGCTGGTCGAAAACATTAAGTAGCATAACGTATAGTTAATGATTCTCAGAGGATGTAATAGCCGGGCCTCCACATTAGACACCATGTTATAAACGTACTCTCAAGCAGTACGTATACTAAAAACGCACTCTTAATAGCACAAGGAACTTAAGTTTCCTAAATGGCTTTCATTGGTTTTATAAATTAAACCTTTTTCCATTTTACATATCAAATATTTGGACGAGGCCATTAAAGGGCCACAGTAAAACACCAAACATAAGAGTTGGTCTAGTTCTATTAATAGAACTACTTTTACTTTCCAACTTTATTTTTATCTGAATACTTCAGTAGCGAGATGGCTCAACCGAATATAGGTTTCTAGGGACAATTAACGTTACCTAGTTGATCCTCCGATCAGCCAACCAGATATGCCAGTCTGATGAAGGCTAAGTCGGTAATTCTTGATGAGTGGCAAGTTATTGGTTAAGACAATAACTAAGGACATCAAGAGTTTTTTTTTCTTTTTTCTTTCTTTTTTTCTAAAGATAGGATTTTATGAGTCTCTCAGATTCGCCCCAATGAAACATACCATAGTTTCTAATAGAGCGACAACGAAACACTAAATAAAATCCCTTCGGCGGAAACAGTACTGAGAAGATTATATATGGGCAATGTCTCAGCCTCACAATCCCTCAGAGTATTGCTGTTTTCACGAGGCGTACCTAACTTTAATAAATGTCTTATTTCGTTTATTTACTTTAATATTTTCACGATACTTAGAATTCGGGTCTATGGATGTAAACACCGTAGCACCTTTCATTCGTCTCAGTAACTCGTTTATACGAGGGATATGGAAACTATGAGTCGGCAATAACTTATTTATTAGACTCATATCTAGACATACTCTGAATTTCTTGAATGTTCCGTCAGAATTGTGTTTATCAACCGTCAACAATGCTACGTTAACTAGCGTTTGTTGGTAATTGATTTCGATTACCCCATCGGATAACCTTTTCTCAACTTGTATTTTAACTACAGCTTCGTGTCTCCAAGAAACATAGTTCCTTGAAGGGCATTTGAGCTTAACATCTGTGGCCATGGTATCACACTTAGAAGTTTTGTCATCTGTTAAGAGTAGGTGAGCAGTTTGAGTTCGCCTTTCAATGTCTTTCATTGATACAAAGAGGTCGGATATACATGAAATTTCTTAACCAGGATCAATCAATGCACGGACTTTAGACTTTATTACACGCTCGTCTAAAGAGTCGTTGTGTTTCCTTTGTAACGATTGTACCTGGCAGTACTTTTACTCCAACTTAATGTCGGGCTTTTTGTCACAAAACTGGGCGTGATAGCCATTGGTCTTCTCACACTTGTCACACTTAGTAAGAAAGTATGTACAGGTGGGTACATGTCTGCCATTCCAATAACCGTTAGGGGTCAATTGGTACATGTCATACCCACACTGTGCGTCGGTACATTTCTTAATCTCCCTAAATGGAGGTTGTACCTGGTAGTACTTTCACTCCAACTTAATGTCGGGCTTTTTGTCACAAGACTTGGCGTGATAGCCGTTGGTCTTCTCGCACTTGTCACACGTAGTAAACCATAGTGTGTACAGGTGGGTGCATGTCTGCCATTCCAATAACCGTTAGGGGTCAATTGGTACATGTCATACCGACACTGTGCGTCGGCACATTTCTTAATCTCCTTAAATGGAGGTTCTTTGTCCTTTGCCTCCGCGCGTGCCAGTTTATTGGGTCGCGTTGATTAAGTGGAGTCGCGAGCACGTGTGTGGTTAGGACGCATCTGATGAGGTCTATCATTAGACGTCTGGCGTGAGAGGTATCCTTGATCAGCGAGCTCGCGCGGTTTCTTATTTACCGCCTTTCCCTTCGAGGTTACTCGGTGCGCGGGGAAAAGAGTGGATATAGTATCATAAAACTGTTCCCACGTAAGTTGGGATAGATGAAACTTTGTTTCATGTCCTTTGTCTCGAGCCCCAGTAGCGTATTTACGTCGCAACTTAGTGTACAGACTTTCACGGTCGTTGTTCCCTATGTTCTTACAGAAAACATGCATGACCAGGAACTCGTACCATCTCTGCGCCTTGTCCTTTATTATATCTGGACGTTTTAAGGTCAGCATCAAGTTTTAGAATATAACTCTGAATAGGAGTATTTTCAACTGATTCAGTTAAAATTGAACTCAGTCCTGGACTTCGCATGACCTTGCTTAATAAGGACGTAACCAATCAACACACAGCTGGCCAGTCACGACCAGTGTCTAGCTCATGCTGGTGTCGCTACAGGATCAAGTAACTTGTTCCTGTAGGGTCAAACGACTGCATCAAAGCAGAAATTCATTGCTGGAAGCGATATCATTCGTCTCCAGCATGACCGTAAACGCAATAAGCGTACGGGTTAGCGTGTCGATGTCATGGTTGTTTATAAACTCGACCTGCTTGCTGTTGGCATCCCAGTTCGACTTAAGTCGACTGATCTGTCCCTTGTACTTCTGGTTATCCCGGTGGTCTTGCCCACGCTGGGCCTGAAGTAGCTGATCGATACGTTTCTGCTTGATCGCGATCATATTTGCAAAATATGATGCATCATCAGCACGGTGCTCGTCATGGGCGATTTCCATCTTAATGGTGTAATCATCGACCGATTTATTAAGTTCGGTCACCTCGTCAGAGTGGAAATCCTCTGCGGGCCGGTGTAATGCTGTGCGATCGAAGCGATTAAATTTGACATCGTTAACACGTTTACGGGAGTGTTTATTACCCCTTGTAAAGTCTATGGTCGAGGCCTTTCGGTGCTCTGTTCCTTTGATAGTAGTTGGTATTATAATCTTGGGTGATTCATGCGTCTGGATGACATAC